CCTCATTAATTGAGCAAGTGAACACAATCTAACGTAACAGGAATTTGTTAAGAGTCACCTATGTGCAAGCAAGGTGATATGGATGGCACAGTGGAGAGAGCGCTAGCCTTGGTGCCAGCAAGAACTGAAAATTCCGTCTCTGGCTGTCTTAACTTCTCAAGGCTCTAGGCATACTTCCATGACTACAAATTGCAAAGAAGGTGCCAACTTAAATTAAAATGGGAGTTTCCTTGTGTGCAAGTTCCCTTATGCCAATGAAATCCCAGGTCTGATCCGTATTCCTACGCCGCCTATATGCAAGGCACAGTAAATGGTCATGCTGTGTCTTGCTTCAACCCAAAGAACCAAATGGTTGTGGATTTAGGGCAATAGACAAAGAAAATGAAGAAATTTTCAAAAGATGGCCCCGAGATTTCTGGAGGTTCTTACTCTCTACAAGAATAAGGACACTGGTGGGTAAGAAAAAGTGTCAGGCAGTTCAATTATGAAACAAAAATCCTAATAGGCATGTTAGTAATAGAATGAACTCTGAAAACTGCCCAAATAGACTGTTCTTTTGAGGCAAGCACATGCCAATGTAGCTCTTCAGGAAATCCTAGTGGGAATGAATAAGTGGTGTAATTATTTTGAGGGGATGACAAATTTATGGCAAAATGGCATCAGACTGGTTTATTTAAGAAAGAATTTCACTCGAAAAATCCCCCAAATGGTTACAATGCCCATGCTACTCATTGTTTTCCATTTTAAAAAACCTAAAGTGAAATGGAAGCTAGCAGATCTATTTCTAATCAGATGGTTGACATCATTTACCAATAAAATTGATTAGAACACATCAACTCAGACAGAGAATCCATTCAAGTAGATGTAATCCTAGGCTGTTGTGTTAATGGATCTGGATAGTCCTCCAGTGATTTAGATCATGTGAATCCAACCTAGCCACATCAACATGATTTTTGTCCATGTGTCCCCACATGCTCCCCAGAGGAGAAACTTAACATGCTGGGGACCTCCAGTTCTACTGAAATCACTAGGATACCCATAGTGCACCTGGGTTATATGTTGGTTGTCCCTCAACTTTTGCTACATGACCAGCCCATCATCTCTTCCATTGTGCTTTTTCCTCCCCAAAAGCAACAGTAGCATCTGCTGCTGCCACAACCCTATAGTCTTCCCCCCTCCACAACCCATGTCACCTCAAACACACAGCTGGAGACAGGTAGAAACAAACTATCGATAATGGCAACTCCATCATGCCCACAAATCTGCCTAACATAATTGACTTAACCCAATGGCCTTCTTCATCTAAGAAGGCTAAGGACCGAATTCATCCTCTCATTTCATGAGGGTAAGCACTTTTTAAGTCAGTGACCTATGTGGAAAATATTTGAGTCAAAGAACATCAAATTTGTAAAAGGCAAGATAACATTTTTTTAAAATGTGGAGAACACAGAAGCATAGCCATTTGCATTCAAATGTAAATGGAGAACAATGAACAATGTGGGCATTGATTGTGATAAGTAAGTGAATCAGTGGGTGGGAAAAACCACTTGGGTTCAGTTTGCCTCTAAATTTCTAAGCTATTTGCACTCTAAGCTATTTCTATCATCTGCATCATTAAATCAGACACACTATCACAATTGTGATTTGTTAAAAGGAAACTCAGTTTATGATAGCCGTTCTAAGAAAAACAATCTAACTTTCCAGACATTTTTTCAAGGAAAGTTCTCTCTATACCCTAACAAGCCTCGCACATTTTTGGACCCTCAAATAAAAAATTTTCTAGCTAATCAAGAAGTCTTCCAAGGTGTAAGTTCTACTTCAAATAAGCACAAATAATAAAAATAGCATTTCATTGAATTCAGAAAGTGACCGCTTAATATTTTATAGTTATAGTTGTATAGTATATATGTATATGGTATATGTAATAGATATGTACTACATTTAGTGTATATATATTGGCAGCTGGTGGTGGTTCAGTAGATAGAGTGCTTCTAATGACCCTGGGCAAGTCACTTAACCTCTGTTTGACTCAATGTACTCAACTGTTCTAAAATGGAGCTAACAATAGCACCTACCCACAGAGATATAGTGAGGAGCAAATGAGATAATATTTGTAAAAGTGCCTAGCCCAGGGCCCGGCACATAGTAAACTATACAAATGTTTATTCCCTTCCCTCCCCGCTATGGTAACAATTTATACAAAGAATCTTTAAATCTCTGCTAGTTTGTCAAGCGTTTATTATTTATCCAATGCAAACACTGCTGATGAAACTTTGGGATGTTAGTAAATGGAGGTACAGGAGAACAGCTGGACAGCAGGATCCACATTTCCCACTTCCCATCAGTAGGAGGAACTGTATTAGAAAAGTCACACTGGAAAGAAGGCTCCCACACTGGAAAGAAGGCTCCCAAACCTGGTTCTTTTCCAGGGCCTTTTTCACATAAATTCTAAGAAGGAAAGCAAGCCCATCTAGTACATTATGAATTATCTGGCGTCCAAATAATTCACCTGCAATTCTGCTAAACACAGATGGTGTTTGGGGGGATCTAAACTAATCAAACTAGCTGCTTGGAAAGTCTGAAATCCTTCAAGTACACAGATCCACAGGGTTTTCTGACTAAATGAACCCCTCTCTTCACTTTTTTGATGTCCCACTTCCCTACATCTTCTCCTAACCTCACAGACAACCAAAATGTTGAAATATGAAAACAATTTTAGAAATTCTGATAAAGGCATGTATTTCTATTTTCAAAAACTTTTCTTTCTCTTGGGTTAAGTTGGAGGATGGTTATGGCAAATGACACTTTTTAAAGGCACAGAAGGAAATTCAGACAAGCAGGATGGTTTTAAAAGTAGGGAAGTATGAAAATTTACTATGTACTTTCAAATTTACTACACACTTTTAAAAAAGCAGCATGAAATAGAAATTCACGATTTCCTATAGAATCCTTTTTTTTGTGTTCTGTTGGAACAACACGGAAATGTACTTTTTTGTGAGTTTAAGTTCAGAATAAAAAAAAAAATTAAAAGACTTAATTGAACCAAACTGTGTCAGTGTACAAGGAATCAGAGCTCCAGGAATCATTCTTGAGACCAGTGCCCCACTAAGGCAGATTCAGAGGCCAGGAAGCTGTGCCCGGCTGAATCAATTCTAGATCTTTGCTGAATATCATTTTCGTACTATGACTAAGTAAGTTTCCTTTCATCGTTTTAGATGGACCTACAGTGTCTCAGATTGGCCTGAGGCAGGCCTGGCCTCCTCCATCACGTGATCTAAACATTTGTATTAGCACCCGTCAAAGGAAACCCACTCTCCTTATAACTAGGGACAATGACTTTTGGCATTCTGAAATCAGGTTAGTTTACATCATGGGTACAGCCTTGAGGATTATTCACTCTGCCTCTCTATCCAACAGGCCTATCTGTACCAAAGTTTCAGGACACCTCATTTTAAACTTAAATCTTTTGTCATACAGAAATTTTGTTTTAAAATAATTACCGATAATCCTCTAAGAATATTTCAAATGCTTAAACCCAATAGCTGTCAACTCTATAACCTAACTCCCATAAGTCCTAGCAGTCAACATCCATTTAGAACCTGAGGTTTAAAGATGAGTCAATATAAACATTTTTGGCTTTGCTTCTGACTCTGCTGACTTCACCACCATGTGTTAGCTGCCTTCTTACCCTGGAACATCCCTCCACTATGCCCATTGTCCATTTCCTTCTGGGGGCCTCCATTTTTGAGCCTGACCAGCCACTTTTCACTCTCCTTCTGACTGTGCTCCTTTCTCTCTAGACTTCACCACTATGCCCGACCCATCCCCCTCCTTCCCAGTTCCTTTTTATGTGTTGTCTCCCCATCACGAATGTAAGCTCCCCAAGGGCAGCTACTGTCTTTCCTTTTGATCGTCTTGATATATCTACCTAATGCTTAGCACAGAGCCTGGATTACTACATAGAAGTGCTTAATAAATGCATTTTGCCCTGGTTCCCTGGCCTTGTCCATAAATGGGGAAGTCGAAGAAATGGTTGTATTGTAAATAAATCCAAGCCTATAAGATGAAAAAATCATCATAAAATAGAGACTGCTTATCTTAAAGAAGCACTCTACCAGCCAAGGAGCCAGTGTCATTGTAGCTTGTGAGGAATGTTACCCAGCAACACTCTTGTGCGATGCAGCTCTCTCCTGGTCATTGGCTGACCTATTTTTCCTGCTCTGTGGCCTCAGGCCTTTCACCAGGACATAGTTAATTTGAAGGCCGAACTCTATTGGCATGAGCTTTAATGGGTTGGGGGCAGAATTAGGAAAAGGAACCTGAGGAGTCCTTGACCTGCACTCATCACCTAGCAATATGGCTGTGCTAGTGAAGAACTCTGCCTTCTTCTGTATTGATGAGTTACAGTGAGAAAAAGATGGATAGATGAGTGTCATTGGGACCATTGCCCTTGGTACTCATCAAACTGAATTGTAAAAAGGCTTTGTGTAGTGAGGAGAAAGTGTGGCTGCTGGTTACTTTGGTCATATTTCTCATCGCACATTCTCTCATCCGATTTTTCCTACATAAAACAACAATAAAAATCTAAGTTGCAAAGTGGATATGGGTTTCTACTAATGAAGAAACACTGAAGTTTAGATTTTAGCAGCTCACTTCATTGACAGTTAAAAACTTTGAAAAATTGGCCTTACCTAACTCCCTCATCAGGTGCAGAACATACTAAGTTCTTTAATGGACTGTTCTATGAGTTGCTATCATTGAAAAAAAAATCACTTGGTGACCAATGTTCTGGTGATGAAGTTGTGCAAACATAACTAGGCGGGTTCGTAGACAACAGAGGATATATAGGGGCATGCTCTGTGCTTTTCCATCTTGTTAGGACTTGCCATACCTGGCTTGTATCTCCCCCCCCCCCACAAGAAGCTGATGAGACACAGGAGAAGGACTTTAACAAAGACCCATCTGGCCCTGTTCATCGCTCAATAGACGGTCTCACTTACCAACACAGAGGATGTTAAAGCAGAAGCCTTGGGATGTGGACTTGTTGACCAACTGGTCAGGAAGACTGTCAAATCCAACATGACCAGAGAGAGATAAGTTTCGAAGGTCTTCATTCTGAAACATTAAAAGGAAATACACAATAAACGCCCATATACATTCATAAAGAAAAGAAGGTAATTCTTTCCATATCCTCTTTTCAGTTCATGGAAAAAACAGGAAGAAAAAAAAAAGAAAGAAATCCCTGGGGCTGTGTTGTAGACAAAGAGTCAATAGCCTCCCAGGAAAGCAGGAAGCAAAGAACTCCCTATGAACTGGGAAAATACAACGTGGTAGTGTTCCAAATACAAGTCCTGGAGAGCCCACAATCATAACCGAGACGCTGTTCTCTGAACTTTATGGAATCTTAGAACAACATTGTAATGATCAGTATCAACGGCAATATCCCTCCCTGAACCATCCAGATCTGCACCTCCTCCCTGGGTCTGGGATGGTCATTCCCACCACTGGAACCCACTCATATCCTCATGTTCAAAAAACACTGATGTGTTTTTCTAAAGAAGAAACTCACTCCTTGTCAGAATTGATTGATAGCTGCTGGCCCTCCTAATTGTGGAGATTCCCAATGCCCACTGAAGCAGCACGAACAGCTGCAAAGAAGCCTTGATTGATGCCAACTCCACACAGCCCTGCTCATGACCATTCACGCACATTGAAGAATTGCCACAGCCCTGTTCTCAAAAGCAGTGACCTCCAAACCTTTTAAATCTAGCAACCTGTTAAAAAAAAATTTCCACTGGTATGCTGGTATACGGGTATGTGGGTGAAATACTAATAATAATAATAACTAGCATTTCTACATCACTCTGAGGTTTGCAAATTGCTTAATAATCTCATTTTATCCTCACAACCACCTTGGAAGGTAGGTATTATTATCCTCATTTTACATCTGAGGAAACTGAGGCTAGCTGATTTGCCCCAAAAATCACACAGCTAGGTCCAGTGCTCCATCCACTGTACCACCCAGCTATTTGACCAATGCAGCTGCTGTTGTGGGTGTCCCAGCTCTCTTTCAAGACCTCACACAGTAGTACAAGGTGACTTTTCCCCTATAAGGCCCAAAGGCCAAAGGCAAAATTACTGTAAGTTTCCTATGGGGCTCTATTAATTAGTACTTGTTTATTATACACAGCCTGACCCTATTTCCTCCACTCTAGGGCTGGAAACCGTCAATTAACTTTTACTAAGCATCTCCTCCATGCAGGATGCGAGGCAGGGTGTGGAGTAGAGCAGGTGAACAGCAGGGAAGAAATGAGTTCAAGTCTTGGCGGTATGACTTTGAGCAAATCACTTAACCTTTCAATGCCCCCAAACAACTCCCCAAGGCCAGAAGTGGTACAACAGTTTTTATCTGGATGGGGTGAAGGAGTTCTTTATAGAGTTGCTTATACCAAGAAAATCACAGGTCTGGGCCAAAAATAAAAATAAAAGGTAAGACACAGTGCTGAGAATGAACTACAAAGACATGAAAGTGCTTGCCCTTAAGGTGCTTACATTCTACAGGGAGAATACATATGTATTTGTAAAAAATAGAATAATCTTCTCGTGTTCCCCCCACAGCACAATATTCAGCATATATTAGGCACAACGAAATATTGTTTAATGAGTGTAACTTGAATTATGCCACTTAAAGATCTGTCCAGAGATTGGTACCACTACACACGGATGGCCTGCCACTTCCGGAAGTCTCTGAGCTATAAAGCCTGGTGCCCGTGATAGCTATCAGTATTGCTACCAGCATTTAGCACAGCGCCTAATACACAGTAGATGTTTAGTAAATGTTTATTGACTGACTGACCATTTGCAATAGGTTTGGGTTTCCTGTCATTTTCTACCAGGTTCCCCCTGTCATAAGAGCTAATCCTGTTATTTTCCCCCACCCCCCTGCATTTGTCTTTGAAACAATAAAGTTTGGATGGAAGAATGAAGCTGAGAGCTGCATATTTTTGGTTACTTTTTTTTTTAACTGGGGGAAAACCCATTGATTAATCTTTTTGTTGTTATCCTCTTCTATAAAGAAGGCTGATTTTATTAACCCGTTTGTACGTGGAGTACAATAAGTAAAAGTGATCTATGTGCCTCTAGCAGGCAGGGATTGCAATAGGCCCATTTTATGAACGGTGCTCTCTAACATTCTATGATTCTATGAATAAACCAAAAAGAAACACATCATACGAAAACACATGGGCAGCGGGAGTCCTCCTGGTACCCTTCATCTTTGCAGACTCAGGGTCAATGGGACAGAACACATCAAAGCCTGCCAAAAGTCAATAGGAGATGCAAAAGTAGGCCAATTTTCACCGGACTGAATTGGCATCAAACCCAGCCTCATGGGCACACCCTACGAGAATGCTATGATCGTTCTTTGCCCCACGGCAGCCAAAGTCCTCAAGCAGTTGATTTCCTCTCCACCTCTCCCTCCTTAGGTACCTCAAGTGCCTACAACGGGTAATTTTAGACTATTTAGCATGCCATCTAAGACACAGGGCACAGGGTTTGAGCCAGGTCCATTCCTGCATCCATCCGAGTTATACAGCAGCTGTTTCACATCAGTCCTGAATAAACAATCATGCGCGTCGTTATTTCTGCCACATCACGGACTTGAAAATGCATTCCCAGATAAAATCCAAGTAGGCAGGGAAGATGTGCCTTCTGTGTATCCCCTCCCTCTCCTACATTCACCAACCCCCTTTGCCAATCCCAAAAGGAAAGGGGGTTCATTACTCTAGATTCTGCACCATTCTATTTTTAGATAGCCCCAATCCACCTATTCTGGGGGACAGGGAGGGAAGACAAGAAGAGTTAGTCATTACAATGTTGCGCAAATTTCCATCTCAGAACCGATGCTCAGTATTTCATATCCATGCTGTTTCCAAAATAAGAGAACCCGCCCACACACCCACTAAGTATTTTTAAATCCATTGAAAACCACAGACAAAATGAAGGGTTACAGAACGATTTGGGCTTGAAATTTTGACAAAGGAATAGCTACTAGCCTTTTGCCTTTTTTTTATAATTAAAAAAAGTCTAGGGTTATAAGCCTGGGGTGGGGGGGGAGGGGAAGGCTGGTATAAGGGTGACTCCAGTATCCTTTCATTTATTTTACTGTGAGAATGAAGAAGGGAGCCTACTTCCTCCTCCATGCGTCTAACAAAGCCAGCTCCTACAACTTGCTGCCTCTGCCCCTGGGTTTTGGGGTCCCTGGGGTTTGGGGCTCCTTCTCTTTGTGACTTCGTCCTTAGGTGGAGGCAGCTTTCTCCCTTATCATCCAAACAGTTTCTCCTAAAGAGTCATAAGGACACAGAACATTGTCTTGGCAACTCTTCCTGAGTACAACAGAAACTGGACTGTGACAGGTGATGAGGGTATGTGTCAAATTGTAAATATATAGATAATTACAGGCCCTAAAGCTGGACAATCTTGCTTCTCTCTTTCACTGAGAGTCCTCTGATCAGAGACCTGTTTACCTAGCTGAAGCCAGCTTGTTTCTCTTCCGGCGTCACTTTCTACCTCCAACTTTACTCTACTCTTAATCCAATTTTTTTCCTCTGGATAGTTGGGCTCTTATTTATTCATTAACAAATAGCCCATTATTGGACCATTTTGTTTACATTCTTTATGTATAGACTTCAGCAAAGAAAGAGCCTCTTATTTTACACATCTATGTGTAGGGACTCTAGCAAAGATAGCACAGACTCAGGCAAGAATGCTATCATTCAAAGGCCGAGGAGGGAACGCAACAGTGCAGCCATACAACTCCCAGTATTCCCTTGGAGAAACATGAGCAAGATGGAGATGGGGTGATCCTGACATAATCACAGCTGATTCACCAAAGACACCAAAGTACTAACCCTGTAATAATAGACAAAGCATGGGATTTGGAAGGCAGAAGGCTTTGAAGAGAGGGAGAGAGACAGAGACAGACACAGACAGACAGACAGACACACACACACACACACACACACATAGAGAGACCTAGCTTTCTCACAAATTTGCTCTTACTTTGAACAAATTACTTAACTACTCTTGAACTTAGATTCTCCATTTGTAAAATTAGGGAGCTGGATGAAATCATTTTTAAGGTTCCTTCCACATTTAATTTTGTAATTCTATGCTTCCCTGTCTACTCTTTTCCTTCTCTTTGCTTTTAAAATTCTTAACCATCTTTTGAAATTCAACTAAATGCCACGTCTTTTTCCAGGAATAACTTTTCCCTTCAGACCTCAGATAGCTCTTTGTTTTAAACCTCTCTACTGAATTTATGGAAAATCATGTGTTATATTACTTAGAATGATATCATCTCTGCTTGCTAAATCACATATTAAGATTGGCTAAGAAGTTGGGGATGTCTAATCTGAAGAGAAGATGCAGGGAGGACAAAGAGTGACTCATGTGGAGAAGGAATGATTGGTTCTCTTTGGGACCAGAGGACAGAACTGGAGGCAACGGGTAGATGTGGCAGAAGAGATTTTTGGTTTGATAATAGGAGACATTTCCTAACCATCAGAACTATGCACAAGTGGAATGGGTTACCCTAAGATATTGAAGGTTTCCTCATACTTGAGGTGTCTGGAAAGAGGCCAGATGAACACCGCTGGGGGCATACTCTATAGGGATCCATTTTGGATATGAGTTATATTGGATGGTCACAGGAGGCCCTTTCAACACTGCAATGCTCTGATTCTGTTTTCTCTCAGGGCATAAAAACAAACAAACAAACAAACAAACAAACAAAAAAAAACAACTCACTAAATCACATTTCCCACCAAGCCTCTAGCAGAGTGCTCTGCACACACTGGAACAAAAACGATGGGAGGTAAATGGTGTGAAATTAGGTTGGAGCCATATTATGGAGGGCCTTGAATTTTCTGTCTGGCCAAGGAGTCTGTATCTCATTCTAGTTGCAAAAGGAAGGCATATAAGATTTTAAAGGAGGGTGGTGACTGGGTGAGAACTTTGCCTTAGGAAGATTATTTTGGAAGCTTGTTTGGTTAGAAAGGAGAGACTGGGAGCAGAAGCACCAATTAGGAACTTATTGCAACACTGATGAAGG